ACTCCGGCACAGGATCGAGAACGTTAGAAGCACTCTCTGATGTGCTGCCCCGTGAGGTGAAAGAAAAAGCTGCTATGAAAGATGAAGATGAAGAGGCTGTTTTTTGTCGTCAATGGAGTCTAGTAACTACAAATCTTCCGCTACCAAAATTGATACCATGAAAGATTTTGTTGTACAATTCGCTTCTGCTCCATCAACCAGTGCTTTATTGACCCTGAGGTTGAGAATTGTCTGGTCATTTTCGATGAATACAATTAGTTTGGAGCTGAATAAACAATGAGTGTGATACAAACAATGCTTTGAGGGGAGTGTTGCTTTATCGATCGGTTAATAATGGTGTTCAAAACGTACTGTGATTTTCGTCTCTGACTCTGCTAAAGTCGATGTTTATTTTTGATAGATTTGCATGTGAACCAAAACTTTTGTTTACAACAATTTACTTTGCTAAGTGCTGCTGCGTTTGACCCATCTTTATCAATCAAATTTTGCATAAAATCTTCAAGAAAGCCTGAACATTCCAGTTCCAGCTGGTCATGTGTTGTAGATGTGATAGTCGAGACTCTGTGGGAGCACTTTCTTGCCGAATCCAAAGTGCAGACAGCCCAGGGGTACGAAGGCGGATCAGACTGCTAGATTATGTAGAAGACCTGATATTGTCACCCATTGGAATGCAGTTCATAGGGCTTATCGATTTGGAGCGGACTGACATTACTAGAAAAGCTCCCAGAAGCATGAAGCGCTGAAATTTGAAGGCATAGAAGGTCAGCTGTTTTACAAGATTTTGTGAACATTACCGGATGTCAGAAAGTAAAATTAGTAGTACTTATATTTTGTTTGAGTCTCTCCCTTAATTACAACGGGCACTTTAAAACGTACTTCATTATTTGAGTCTGCGGGTTTCAAAAATATCGGCGTTTGCGCTAGAACTAAAGTGTACAAAAATCAGTAGTTTTGCGAATTTTTCTAGCAAGCAGAATGAGAAACAGGAGTGACTGATGTCTCTCAGATTCACCATGTCCTGTTAAGATATACATTTGGATATAATTCATTGATATGTTAATTTTGAACCCGGCAGACCTTCTCTAGAATCTTCATTCTCACTTCTTTGTCTTGCTACTGTACATTTTATTTAGAGTTGCGGTATCTTATATCTACAACATTGCACAAATGAGTCATGCTATTGCTGAAATGGTTGATAGTTTTACGTACAATTCCATATAGTTTTAAGAGTTAACATTGTAATTGATTGACCAAAATTTGTTTTGATAATGCATATGCTATTAAGGTTTGTGAGCAATGAAGGGAAGCATTAGCCAGATATGCGACAGGAAGATATGTGAAAGCCACTGGTGGACATATGTTATCTAATTCCGGTGCCAGAAATTCGAATCAGGAATGACAGTAGCTACTGCCACGTAGCACACTTCAGTGACAGCCTTGAAATCAGGGCAGATTTAAAGGTTACCGTGGAGAGAACGCTTAGCGTAAATTATAGTGTATAACAATATTAACTAGAGCATCCTTCAAAACAGTGGCTAAGAAGGGTGCATGAAGCATATTTTAATATCTTGATAGCAATGCGAAGCCATAATATTTATGGAAAGTCAGTCACGTGTCAACGGTGTTGACATACCCACCATACAACGCATTACCTTTCAAGGGTGTATATATCACACTCGTGAACCGGGAGCTAGCTATATTATCATATCGCGGAGAGAGGTGAATTCCTTACCAAATTATGCAACAGAGCTTAGTTTTGAATAACTACGTTTCGAGCAAGAAAATTCAGTTCAATGTCAGGAAAATGAATTTGTAACAGGTAAGAGATCGTTTGTGTGCCTTTCATTAAACAACGATCATCGCAACATGATTCACGAAAGAAACTTATAGGAGTGTATGTTCAAATCAGTGCCACCGCATGAAAACACCCAAAGAAGTGATTAGCATGCGACACGGCTAAACCTTTCAGCACTACTTCTTCGATGTGAGGCCAATTGTGTATGCGAGGATCTGCTCGCTGAGGGTTCACCCTTCAGCAGGAATATGCGTCATCATGTGAAATTGTGGTAGCCTCCTTAATCAATGGGTGGCTAAAATCAGTTATTTACTGCGTGTCACCACATGTCGTTGTTCGGCCTGCTTGTACCTAACAACAAGAACAGAAGAAACAGCCATAATTGTGAGCTGATTTGCCAACTGATGCTCAGGATCAGGAAGAGACCAACTGAATTTAAATCTGGCTGGTTCTTTGACCATCGTATATGGAACCGAAAGCTTAGGTTCATACATTCCTTATCGCTCCTCCATAGTAATAATCTACGTTCATTTCCGTCATATGCCGTTTTGAGCTCAATCGGCACAATGAAAAATTTAAATCGCACTGTCAGATAGAGCCTTTGCGAGAAATTACGGACAGCTTCGTACGTACAATCCAATTATATCATTATTGTCTACGTGCTTTTCTTTATGCGGATTTACTGTAATAATGTGGTGAAATTTTTCAGCCTTTCCGGCCGAGTGGTTAGCCTTTCATCGAAGGCAAACTTAAGTCTAACTTGCAGTGTGGCTGCTATCATAGAATCTGATGCTGCAACACAAAATTTCTGTATTTCTACTGCTGAAAATTTATGGTTCATTAGTGAGGCCAAAAATAACAAATTAAGGACAATTGTCTTGCATGAAGAATCAGATGTTTTGATAATTAGGTGCTAGTAATCCATTGCTGCACAACAGAGAAAGTTGAATATAATTGATGGTAACGCCGCTGATTCTTACCATTTCCTTAAAAATTTCAAAAATATCATATTACTTGTAATAGCGAGCAACAGACAGACGAGAAACCCTCACGATGATACCATGATTTATGAGATGGTGTTTTTGCTTGTTAATAATTTGTATAAAGTTAGAATTTCATAATGTACTTGAGCCATGTATCAAATATGCTGTGTATATTGCAAGAGGACAAATTTGCGGCAAAGAAAGCCAATGCTGCGGAAATGGTACAGTTATTCAGGAAAAAACTGAAGTTGCTTTGTCAGATAGACAAAATGTAGCAGCTAAGTTTTTCGACATGTCCTGCGTTCGTTGACCTGAACTGTGATCATCTGGTACCAGGCTCTGGAAAACATCTTTTCTGTCGAAAGCAATTGCTAGACAAAATTCTGCAAAAACACCGCCACGATTGCATATAAAAAATTTTAAATGATTTCCGCTATGAGAAGCTTGCTTACTTAAAAAAGTGCGAAAGTTCTAGCGTTTATGGCACGGTTTAATACCTGATTCATACTTTCTAGTGTTGATTTGATTTCTGTGACTTTCGAATATTTTATGACTTGTGTGGGGGGGGG